GTTTTAATCCATGCTGGGTCAGATCCTGATGCTTTAAAAATGAGGCAATGAATCAAAACAAACCAGCAGTTAGCTTAGCCTGTTGCTAATCCAGTTCTTGGAAAATAATGGAGTGTAAACTCTCCCCTCTGTCTTTGTTCTGCTGGTTTTTATGTCCGGCTGATCGGGTCCAAGCTCTTTTACTTGAAGCTTCTCCTGGTGTGTTCTGGTCTAACACACTTTTTTTGTTTCAAGAAACTTAGCTAAGTTGTTTAGCTTCTCCATTTCTTAACGTTAATCTTGCTGCCTGGCATCGTATCTACTCAGTCTACACCAAACCACGCCCACAAACACTCACACTGGAGGCACGTTTTTGTACCACTCTAATTGCACTCTATAGAGTCAATTCTTTAACCAAAAAAAGCTTAAAAGATTTAACATCAACATAAAATCTCAACCAAAGCATATAAAATTCAACTAAAAGAAATATAGTGCAAGATGTTAACAATCTAACAAATGAACTAAATCATGCAAAATTCAAGTCACTCCGGAAAACCTATAATAAACATTTATTTTTTATTTTTTATTTAACATATTTCTCAATATTTAAAATTTAACAAATATCAAGACAACATCCAACTGTTTGTATTGTAACATCAGTTGTGTAACTTATTTCTTTAAGGTGAAAACTGTTGAAAACAACAAGACTGTTTTCTTATTACACAAATTAAAATCCAGCTCCACGTGTTTCTATTGATGTCATTTCCCCACTAGAAAAATGTGTGATGGAGGTCCATGGAAGGTAAATAAGTTTAAATCAAAAAACAAAACAGGATGCAGTTAAAATAAATCAAAGGTATTTAAGCTACGTTTTGAACATCCAGAACACGTCCAACACTTGTTGGCTGCTTGTGCTCTTTAGGTCAGACGTGTGTCGGGAAGCTCCTCTGTTGTTTCAGACGCTGGGGGAACCGTCTGATAATTCAGGGGAGGTCTGTTTGGTAAATTTAACTCCAGGAGCTGCGAGGTTCAAGCTTCAGACTGAACTGAAGCAGCAGCTGCTGACGTCATTACGCWCTTGTGATGCTGCATTCAGGACAAGCATGGAAAACTCACCACTCTTATGCCAATACGGTCGCAATGATGCATTTAGGTACCGAAATGGAATTGCATGAACATTCACGTGGTTGTTATGTAATACAGCGAATCAATAATAAAAAATCTGCGTCGACAAATTTACATAATTGACGTCATCGATTATTTCAACTAATCGGTGCAGCCCTAGCGATTAGCTCTTTTTGTTAGCCTCTGCTTTATTTTTATGTTTAGCAGTTTATTGTTTGTAAAGCTATATTTTTAGCAAGTCGATGTTAAGTTAATTTTAGCTAATGTTTTGGTTAGCTGTGCACACCACTAATTGTAATCATGTCCTGTGAGTTTCAGCTACTACCACACCAAATTTAACCCAGAATCTGCAAAATTCATTGAGGTACAGCAATTTTTTAGTTTGATAATTTGGTCAAGTGGCTGTGGCTGCCATTTTGAATTAAGTGGACCCTATAAAGGCAGTAGTTCATGAGATATTTTTCTAACAGACAAACAAGGTAAACTCCCAACAATTAACGTAAAGATTTTTGCCAAAGAAGTTGAATGAAAGTGGACATGGAAGACAGAAAATGGTACAGAACGGATGATCGTCAGAAGTGATGGAACAGTTTCTGATAGACAAAAAGCCAACAGGAGCATGATTAGGCAACACATTCTCACTCCCAATTCACCACATTTTGACACTTTTCCAAGGTTCCCTCTGCGTCCGATTTTGACGAGTTGGGTACCCCCTCGCGTCAGTTATTGTCATAATTTCAGAAAGTGTAGAAAATGAACAAATCTAACCATCCCAAAGCCTAAAATTACCTTTATTCGCTCTAGACATCCTGTCCCTAAAATTAACCATTTTCAGAAAGTGTAGGAAATTCACCTCAACTACATGTCCCAAACCTAAATTACCTAATTCATCCTAGACACCCTGGCCTAGTACCTAAAATTAAGCATGAACCCTGATCCCTAACATTAACCACAGACCCCAACTCAAAGACCCCTATATTTTGTGTCCTGATGCGTCAAAACTGGACGCCGAGGGAACCTGGAAATGCCTGGTGTGTCAATAACTGATGTGATGTGATAACAATATGTGAGGAGTTGGGAGTGAGAATGTGTTAAATTAGGATTTATTTTATTTTCCACACAGGGCTCTACTTTCTGTCAGGTAAGACTAGCAAATGTTCACATTTGATTAATTAATTTCACAAGCAAATATTCACTATGAGAAAGCCACAACCAGAGTGTCTTTACATACAATATGCTGACAAAAACACACACTGACAGAAGATTTATGTCAGTTTTTTGCATGGATTTGCAAGAAGTCAGAACTGAATTTTTTCAATCGTTCACCACTGAGAGGCATGTCTGTGTGTGCTAATGTGTCTGTCTGTTAGCAAAATATTCAATTCAATTCAAAAATACTTTATTGATCCCAGAGATAAGTTAGAAAAAATGTAAAATATCTCACAAACGTGGTATTTGGATGTACTGTACAACAACCCAGTTCAAGATGACCTCCAAAACTAACATGATCCAACACATACTGTAAATGGTTTAATTTGTTCAATTTATACTGAGCTAAAATTTGACGTGGTAGCATGGACCCCCAACAGGTCTCTCTTGTAAACAAGACAATGAGTCTCAAGAGATTTTCCTGTATAAATAAAGGATAAAAAAATCCGAGCCCCAGGTTTGACAATATGAACCTGAGATACAGCAGCCAGTTGTAGGAGCTCAGGCTGATCCTAAGAAGGTTTCATCATCACGGTAAGTTGGTTTCTTTCCACATCATGTCATGTTAGTCATCATGACCTCAGCTTCCTGTTGCAAGTCGAGAGCTAGCCTGGCTGAGAGTCACACTCTTCCTCCTTTTACTCTCTCGCTCCAACAACACAGGTGGTGGAGGACGGGAGCTATGACATGGTTTTCCCAGTCATTTTGTCAGTATTTCCACTCCTGAGCTCTGCTAAAGCTCGTGCCACATCACGCAGGCTCTGCTGATGTGTGCACGTTTGGCTGCACAAATAAACCTGTATCTGTCTAACTGAAAACAGATAGGTAAATGAGTGTCCGAACACCAGCACTTGGGGTTCAAAGGGCAAACAGAACACTGACGTCCTATAATAACAGCACTACAGCTGGGAAAATGCAGACAAATTCTTTCATTAACTTTTGCATAACTGAAGCAGTTTGTTAAATGTATCTAAATTTGAATTTAATGGGACATTTAGAGCTGCTTGTTGAGATCATCCAGAGAATTCAGAATGTTTACGATCTTCTCTACAAAGCCACCATGCCATTGGTCTCCCAGATCATGTGACCAAACTCTGACCATTTCAAAGGTCCAATAAAAGAGAGCAACTCCAGCATGGGAGGGAAAAAACAAGTGTCTCTCAGCCTGATTCTTTTCCTCAAAGTAA